TTTCTTGTATAACAGATCTGCTGCTGATAAATCCTTTCAATGATTATTTATCTAAAAGTATTTCATTTATCTGAACGTATTTGTAATAGCTGCTTTAAAGTTCTTATCTGTTGGACGGGCACAGTAGCACACATCTGAGAAGGGCAGATGGCTTGAGTCCAGGAATTGGAGACCAGCCTGGGCAACATGGCAAAACCCCATCTCTACTGAAAACACAAAAAATTAGCTTGGCATGGTGGTGTGTGACTGTAGTCCCAGCTACTTAAGAGGCAGAGTTGGGAGGATCACCTGAGCCCAGGAGGTCAAGGCTACAGTGAGCTGTGATTGTGCCACTGCACCCCAGCCTGGGTGACAGAGTGAGACTCTGACTCAAAAAAAAAAAAACAAAAAAACAAAAAACGAAAAATAAACATAAATTTCTTACCTGCTAATCCAATATCTGGGTCATTTTGACCTGGTTTTCTATTGACTGCTTTTTCTCGGCTATAATGGCATTGTCCCATTTTATTTCCTATCTTTGACTGTGGGTCTTATTTTCTGTTCTGATCTCATTTTCCTGTTCTTCTCAAATTCCTGTAATTTTTGATTGCATATTGGACATCGTGAATGATATAAAGTCTCTAGGTCAGGCGTCCCCAAACTTTCTACACAGGGAGCCAGTTCACTGTCCCTCAGACCGTTGGAGGGCCACCACATACTGTGCTCCTCTCACTGACCACCAATGAAAGAGGTTCCCCTTCCTGAAGTGCCTCGGGGGGCCGGATAAATGGCCTTAGGGGGCCGCATGCGGCCCGCGGGCCATAGTTTGGGGACGCCTGTGAGTCTAGATTCTGTTATCTTCTTCCGAAAAGTGCTGATTTTTGTTCTAGCAAGCAAAATTAATTTGGCAAGACTCAAATGGCAATTCCTATGGTGGAAGCAGCTGAAAACTGCTCAGTTCTTTCAGGTTTTTTTTTTTTTTTTTTTTTGAGATGGAGTCTTGCTCTGTCACCCATGCTAGGGTGCAAAGGTGCAATCTCGGCTCACTGCAACCTCAGCCTCTTTAGCGATTTGCTTCCTGCCAGGCTCCTGAGAGACTACAGATGCATAGTTCAAGGATCACCCAAAGACTTGCCCAAATTTACATGCATTTCTTCTGTGGTTCAGTTCTTTCTGGGATGTCCCTGTCACTGTCATCTCTCCAGAGTCCCTGAGCACTGACCTCAGACTCCTCCACCCATAGGACTGTGGCTTTCTGCCTGTATTCTCCCATATTCCTGAGCTGTGGACTGGGAAATGTCTTCAGGCAAAAAACCCATAGAAATGAGAATCTCAACCGGTGCCCTTACAAGGGTCATCTTCCTTCTGGTTTGTCTGCCTAGGGTTACCTCTGAATAGTTATTTTTTAAAAATATTTTGTCCTGAACTCACTGTCACTATCTCCAAGAGTCAGTGTGACACGATTACCTCTGCCATTATCAGCAGAGACTACACTTTTAAAAAACACCCAAAAAATCACCACTGTAAACTATTACAAGTAAGTTAATTAATTCAAGTAGTTACTGAGCACTTACTTTGGGCTAGTTACTATGCCAATACTAGGTACTAGAAATCCTTTCAGTTATAAAGAATTATGTTAAAGTCAACTTGAATGGGGTTAGTTCTTTAGACCTCAAAATAAAGATATTATTCAGAGACATTACAATCCCTTCTCCCTACCCACTGAAAAGGAATAACGCGCACGTTTACTTGCTTTCTCATAGGCATTTTACACTTACGTGGTTCACTTTCTCAAGAAATTCTGATTGCTGAGCCCAAAAGCATTCGCAGTTAACACCACCAAATCAGTTATAGTTAAAAATGCTCAATTTTCTTTGGCTAGTTTGAAATCTGTCAAAACATATATTCATATAAACCTCAGAGACAGAACATTCGTTGCTAACAGTAAGACCTCTGTCACGTCTCCATTTGAAAGAAAGGAAACTCTGGAGCTAGAAACATCACCCTGAAAGAGGTGAAAGCATAGTGCTTCTTCAGCATCAAAACTGGGGCCTGGGCGGGGCCTCCGCTTTGACTTTCCCAACTTCCTATCTGGATTGTAGAATGATACTCCCCTCCATAAATGGCCTTAGTTTCTTACTATATCTAAATAAAATAAAGGTAAGGCTGGGCTCGGTGGCTCATGCCTGTAATTTCAGCACTTCGGGAGGTGGAGGTGGGTGGATCATCCGAGGTCAGGAATTGGAGACCAGCCTGGCCAACACAGTGAAACCCCATCTCTATGAAAACTACAAAAGTTAGCCAGGTGTGGTGGCACATTCCAGTAATCCCAGCTACTCAGGAGGCTGAGGCAGAAAAATCGCTTGAACCCAGGAGGCAGAGCTTGCAGTGAACCGAGATTATGCCCATGCACTCCAGCCTGGGCGACAGAGACTCCGACTCAAACAAATAAATTAAAAGGGTAGAGGTTTCACTGATAAAAGGTCCAATGCTGAATGCCACTTATTTAGGGTTAGAGGTCAAAGAAGGCTTGCATTTCTGCTATGGGAGCGTATAGGGTTCACCACCTTAGTTCCGAGTTCCTCATTCCCACTCTTAAATCTTTCTTCAAGACCTGTCTCACTCACACAGACGTATGGGATAAAGAGGGATGTAAAAAAGAGAGGTAGGACATTTTCCCAGCTTTATACCTTTGTCTACGTTTGGCGCTGGCTTCATTAGGGAGCCACACGGGAAATACACTCACTGAGCTCCTGCCCCCACCCTCTGGTCCTCACTATCTTGAACATGTTGGAGGTTGTTCGGTGTCCTATTTCCACTGGTTTTCTGGCACCTACTCAGCTATGAGAATAGCCTATGGAAGAGAATCACATACAGCAAGCAAAGGAGAAACACTCCAGAACCAACCCCTGAATGAATGACTTGCCTCTATACAATGTTCTTTTGTTCCTTCTCCCTTTCTTTTCTAGGTTAAATTTATTCTTATATCATCTTAACATTTGAAACTATGTTTTATTACTATTTTATCTGATTTCTAGTGAATACTTAAAATACTTCTGATGTTACAGCAGTTTTACCATAAACCTTGCATGTCATTTTCCGATGAATCATGAATAACTCAACCAGACACAGCGTGAGGTCAACAGCAAACATCTGTGCCCTTGGAGGCGGCCTTCTCCCCTTTGCGCAGCTGCCTGGCATCAGCTAAACAGCCAGTTACTTAACACACTCAAGCTGTGCACCAGGGCAGGCTGACCAGTGCTTACTACCGAGTATCTTACACATCAAAACGGGAAGATGAAACCAGAAAAAGAATACAAGGGTTAATTACTAGCTTATTAGTCGTTCCATTTTTCTTCCAAAGAAAACAGTTCCGTTGAGTCTCAGGTGGATGTGGGTAGAAGCAGGACAGCCAGGCAGCGCAGCTTTGAAGTGTGGCTCCAGAGCTTGCGCTCTCCCCAGTTCAGCTGTTGAAGCAAGGAACACTTCAAAGCCGGCTTCCTGTTGTTCCTGCCAGTGGGGTGTGTGCAATTCCCATCAGTTTGCTTTAAGGAAAAATCAGAGAGGAATTTATCCTCTCATTTGCCAGGGTTTGATACTCACCAAACAATCTACTAGAATTTGTAGTTATGACCATCTCTATCTAGTGGACACAAATAAATCAATTCATTTCATTGTGTGGCTTATATTTATGTACATTAATTGTATAAATCTGATAGCCAGTTTGTGTAATTTGTCCAGATTGTGCCTCATGTCAGTGACAAGGAAACCACTCCAGCTGCTGATTAAATTCACTGTTCATGGAAATATACAGTAATTCTAGGCAAAGGAAAGTTTAGAAGACTGTCCCCTTGCTGCTCTGCTACTCCAGCCCATAATTACAGCTGTTTATAATCCTTTAGTCAGATTTAAATTCTACATATAGGCAGTATACTCAAACTCCTTTGTGAGTTAAAAAGAATTATTCTATTTGGTCAATTCACCTTGTACAATATATTTTTGTACAACATATTTGTTCAAAAATGTTTTTGAACACATTTTTTAAAGTAAATGCCATTTCCCTGAATGATTTGATTTGGTCTAAACCTTAATTTTTATTTCAAATATATATTTCATTTTACAATAACAAAGGGAAAAAGAGATAATACTTGAAGTCATTAACTTTTTTTTGTGTGTGTGTGAGATGAAGTCTTGCTCTGTTGCCTAAGCTGGAGTGTAGCGGAACGATCTCGGCTCACTGCAACCTCCGCCTCTCGGGTTTAAGTAATTCTCCTGCCTCAGCTTCCCAAGTAGCTGGGATTACAGGTGTGAGCCACTGCACCCGGCCAACTAACTCTTATAATTGAAAATAGCTCTAGTTCAAAAACAGATTCTGTGAGTTACATGGACAATTAAACTTCCCCACCACTACCCAGTCAGCTTTTATTTAAATAAATATGAAAAATTAGGGAAAAACAGAATGGGAAAAGATATGAGGCTTTGGGAAAGTTTAGCGTGCTAAAAATGCAGAAGTAACCAGACAGCAACATTCACTAGTGGTAGTAATAACGCCTCGCCAGTGGTAGCACTACTACCGCAGAGTTGCTAACACCAATACAGAGGCATCCATTCATTCAACAGCAGGGCCCCAGTATGGCCTAAAATAGAGCTACCTGGTGGAAATGAAAGTTCTCACAGCATAATTAATAAGGAAAAAATCTAGTTACAGAAAGCTTGTAAAATTATCACAGGAATATGCATCATGATGTAGAAAGGACAGTCTACAAGTTCTGAAGAAGCAAAGATTATCAATTAAAAAGCTGTCAACAGCATCTTCAGGAGGCTGAGGCAAAAGAATCACTTAAACCCAGGAGGCGGAAGCTGCAGCGAGCTGAGATTGTGCCACTGCACTCCAGCCTGGGTGACAATGAGAGATTCAGTCTCAGAAAAAAAAAAACACACACACACACACAAACAACTGTTAACAATAACAAATTAATCTGTTATTAATATCACACCACAGAATATAATCAAAGAGGAAGTTATTCCAATGGCTGCATTTTTATTTTTTAATATTGCAAAATGTTCTAATCACAACAAATTAATCTGTTATTGATATCACACTTATCGCAGAATATAATCAAAGAGGAAGTTATTCCAATGGCTGCATTTTTATTTTTTAACATTGCAAAACGTTCTAATCACAGTGGCATAAACTCCAGGATTCCCGCTTCCCAAGATGTGTTTTTATTTCTGATTGTATCCTGAAGGAATCAGAGGTCTTTGCAAGGTAAAGTCATCATCACTGGTTACATAGATCCTTGATATGTGCAGGCTTCCTGTGTCAAGGCCTTCTGAGCCATTTGTATTTACCTAACAATGACTTGGAGACGCAATTTAAAAAAGCAAAAAGGACAAAACAGTTGGGAAAAAGTCACAAGTAAAATAATTTTATGCAGACAGAAGTTGTTTTTAAAGCTGTTCATGATTTAGTAGAAAGAATTAGGAGCTTGCAACAATTACTTATGTTGCTCATTTTCTGAGGTTTCATTCCAATGAGAGCTGCACACTGTCAGCCTGGTTTTGTGGCTGCTGACAGTCGTACTTCCTTGCTATTCACAAAAACAACAATAAGAAAAAGAGGCAACATTAATAAAACTGCAAAATGATTACTACCTAACATCATTAAATTACAGTAAAGTCATAGTTTCAATAAAGAATTCGTTTATGTTTGTTTGTTTTAGAGACAGAATCTCACTCCGATGTCCAGGGGTGCAGTGCAGTGGGGCCATCACAGCTCACTGCAGCCTCAACCTCTTGGGCTCAAGCAATCCACCCACCTCAATTCTCAAGTAGCTGGGACCACAGACAGACACCACCACATCCAGCTAATATTTTATCTTTTTTGCAAAGATAAGGTCTTGCCACGTTGCCTAGGCTGGTCTTGAACTCCTGGCCTCAAGTGATCCTCTCACCTCAGCTTCTTAAAGTGCTGCGATTACAGGTGTAAGCCACTGTGCCCAGCTAAGTAATTAGTTTTCTATCTTTCCATCAAAAACAAAAAACCAAAACTGTGGGTTTATAATTGTATCTGCTGTGTTACTGAGCATATTACTAACAGCAGATAACTTGTTTTGCATAGGTATCAACAAAAACTTAGTTCTTATAATTTTTCAGAGCTCCGGGCTCTGTATGTATGTATGTATGTATTTATGTACGTATGTATGTATCTATGTATGTATGTATTTGTAAGATGAAGTTTCGCTCTTGTCCCCCAGGCTGGAGTGCAATGGTGCAATCTTGGCTCACTGCAACCTGTCTCCTGGGCTCCAGCAATTCTCCTGCCTCAGCCTCCCGAGTAGCTGGGATTACAGGCATGTGCCACCACCCCTGGCTAAGTTTTGTATTTTTAGTAGAGACGGGGTTTCACCATGTTGGCCAGGCTGGTCTTGAACTCCTGACCTCAAGTGATCTGCCTGCCACGGCCTCCCAAAGTCCTAGGATTGCAGGTGTGAGCCACCACGCCTGGCCCCAGGCTCTGAATTTTTTTTTTTTTTTAACAATACTTATTTTTTTTAAAAGGATGTTTTTTAATGTGGTAAAATATACATAACATAAACTTTACCATTTTAACCATTTGTAAGTGTAGAGTTCAGTGGCATTACACACATTCATGTTGCTGTGACCATCACTATCATCCATCCACAGAGCTGGATGAAATAAACTCCCTATTCCCCTCTTCTGTAACCCCTGGCAACCACCATTCTACTTCGAGTCTCTATGATTTGCCTCACATAAGTGAAATAACCCAACATTTGTCCTGTTGCGATTGGCTTATTTCACTTAGTATACTGTCTTCAAGGTTCTTCCACGTGTAGCAGCATGTCAGAATGTCCTTCCTTTTAGGGGCTGAATAACATTCTATGGTATGCACCATACTTTGTTTATTCATTCATCTGTTGAGGACATGAGAGTGATTTCCACCTTTTGGCTATTGTGAATAATGCTGCCATGTTGAATTAAGTTATATGTCTTATTTTGAGCCAGTAACAAATGAAATGGTGTAAAATACAAAAGGAACAAAGGATATCTGAAAAACATATTAAGTATCTGAAAATAGTACTAAATTTTCTTTTTTTTTTTTTTTTTTGAGACAGAGTCACACTCTGTCACCCAGGCTGAAGTGCAGTGGCGTGATCCTGGCTCACTGCTACCTCTGCTGCCCAGGTTCAAGCAATTCTCCTGACTCAGCCTCCTGAGTAGTTGGGATTACAGGCACCTGCCACAGCACCTGGCTATTGAGTTTCATTACTTACAATTTTTAATAGTAACCTTTTGCTAAATGAACTCAATTCCACATGCATATGCATATCTTTCAGTACAGAATATACTTACAAATGGAATACATTTCCAGTTGTTGTCTTAAACGAATCTTGCTTATCGTGTCATAGAAGTTGGGCTCCGACAAAGTTTCTTCTGTAGGTGGCACGCTGAATATCCTCATAATTCTCCTTTTGTTCCTAAAACGCAAAATCCATGCAGAAGAGATATTTGTATTAATGTCATGTTGTAATATGCTCATGATCCTGGTCACCAGAAGTTCTGGTGAAAGGACTTAAATGACAACAAGCCCATTTTACTTTCCATTTTGTCTTTGGGAGCTGCTTCCTTGGCTCAAAGTATTTTTTCTTTCGCTAAAAAGTATGAGGCTATAAGTGAGAAAAGTAAGTAGCTGAACACATCCATTTAACACAACAAAATGAAGTTCCTCCAACTGTGATTCTCCTCAATCCCCCAAAAGCCAAATATCCTAAGAGAAAATCAGAAACAAGAAAACAGCTGATTTTTCCTCCCTCTCATGTCATCCAGATAAAGCTAAATTACTGCCCAAGGGAATAAACTGAATGTGAACACAACTTAATTTTGGAAAGTAATGAATAAACATATTTCTTAAATACAATAGCATGGCCTTAGTGGAGACGTCTTTTTAAAATTAAGAACAGCATGCCTCCGCTTTTAAAAGAAATGTGGGAAGGTGGCAGTGGCTGTTTTTAGAGGAAAGTGGTCACCAGCCTGGTGATCAGTGATGGTCAGGGAGTCTCTTCTCACCAGCCCGAGTTCAGGAGCCCACAGGCCAGCAGCTCCAGGAGGGTTCAGCTGAGATCTGGGCGCAAGTGCGGGCTCTGAACAATTCCTCAGACCAAACTTAAATTATTTCTGGATTACTAATTACCTTGAACTCTCTAATGCCTTTTTACCTTGGGAGAGGATACCTGTAAGCAAGTATCTGCAGAACCAATCCAATCTAACACTGCTCTTCCTCTTTAAAGCCTCCCCGTACCACCCCCTTTTTACTGTACTTCTGGGAAAGGAGCCAGGGAGTGTGGAAAAGCAGTTAAATTAAGCTACAACATCTGGAATTAAGGCAGGAAATAATATTTATTGAAGATTTACACTATGTGGCACACCAAGGACCCAAAGGTAAAAGACAAAAAAGACATGTCGTGGAATGGACAAGTCATCAGGTAAGACTAACACTGTTTAATAAGTGCTATGATAGAGTCATGCACAAAAAAACAAGGAAAAGCTTATACTGGCTGAAGGGAGACTTGCTAAGACACAGGAGTCAGTGCTTCTGCATTCAGGGACGTAAGCCAAAAAAATGTGCTCAACGTAGGGTGACAATGTTATCTATCATCCCAGGCTAGATGATAAAATTGGGCTATATTAGAAATTACAAAATTGAGGGTTTAGAGCAGCTGGCCTGGGGGCTGAGAGCGGTACTTAAGTCTCCATTTCGTAAAGCAATGGGTTGTTTTTTTTGTTTTTTTTTTTTGAAACGGAGTCTTAAACTTTGTCGCCCAGGCTGGAGTGCAGTGGCACAATCTCAGCTCACTCCATCCTCCTCCCAGGTTCAAGCAATTCTCCTGCCTCCGCCTCCCGAGTAGCTAGAGTCACAGGCTCATGCCATCACGCCCAGCTAATTGTATTTTTAGTAGAGATAGGGTTTCACCATGTTGACCCAGCTGGTCCTGAACTCCTGACCTCAGGTGATTCACCTGCCTTGGCCTCTCAAAATGATGGGAATACAGGTGTGAGCCACCATGCCCTGCCAGCAATGAGGTTTTCAGAGTCAAACTTTGGCCACCAATGCTTGAGACCACAGTGGACCATGTCTTTCAGCACTAGAACAAAAATGATAATTTTTTTTTTTTTTCAGATGGAGTCTCGTTCTGTTGCCAGGCTGGAGTGCAGTGGCGCAGTCTAGGCTCACTGCAACCTCCAACTCCCTGGTTCAAGCAATTCTTCTGCCTCAGCCTCCTGAGTAGCTGGGATTACAGGCATACGCCACCACGTCCAGCTAATTTTTGTATTTTTCGTAGAGACGGGGTTTCACCATGTTGGCCAGGAAGTTCTTAATCTCCTGACCTCATGATCTGCCTGCCTCAGCCTCCCAAAATGCTGGGATTACAGGCGTGAGCCACCTTGCCTGGCCTGATGAAATTATTTTTATGCATTCATTTCTTATTTCTTAAACTTGCAAAACTTGTAAATGCACAGTTTTTATCTACCCTGAGAAACAAAAATTTACCTTTTGGCATACATGAAGAGACCGAAGCTAACAAGGATAACTATCAAGTAAACGTTGGTGGCTTCATTCCAGGCTTCGTGAACAGTATAATCAATAGAACCATCGTCACCCATCACTCCATAACCCCCAGCCATGGGGCTGTAAGAGAGAAAAGAAAGCAAGGTTTATTTTAATTAATGATGGTAACACTGTTTGGGGAAGGGCTGGCAAACATATGGCCTGCTGGCCAAATCCAGTCCACCACCTGTTTGTGTGTGGCCCATGAGCCAAGAATGGGATTTACATTCCTAAATGGCACATTTAAATGGTGCAGTTGGCCCTCTATATCTGAGGGTTCTGCATCCAAATAATCAACCAACTGTGGATGGAAAGTATTTGGAAAAAAAAAATACAAAATTTTAAAAGTACGTTATACCAGCTATTTACATAACATTTACATTGTATTAGGTATTATAAATGCTTAGAGATGATTTAGAGTATACAGAGGATGTGCTTAGGTTACATGCAAATACTACGCCATTTTATATCAGGACTTGGGCATCCACAGATTTTGATTATCTGAGGGGGTCCTGGCACCAATCTCCCAAATACCAAGGAACAACTGCACCTACACAATATCGATTTTGTTTCACAGTCCACAAAACCTAAAATATTTAAAATCTGGCCCTTTAAGAAAAAGTTTAAGGCTGGGCATGGTGGCTCACGCCTATAATCCCAGCACTTTCGGAGTGCAGGGCGGGTGAATCAAGTGGTCAGGAGATCGAGACCATCCTGGCCAACGTGGTGAAGATCTGTCTCTAATAAAAATGCAAACATTAACTGGGTGTGGTGGCTCGAGCCTGTAATCTCAGTTTCTCAGGAGGCTGAGGCAGGAGAATCGCTTAAACTCAGGAGGCAGAGATTGCAGTGAGCCAAGATTGCACCACTGCACTCCAGCCTGGCGACAGAGGAAGACTCTGTTTCAAAAAAGAAAAAAAGAAAAGAAAAAGTTTAACAATCAGAGGGCTACATAATTAGGGCACATTATGCATTTCCCCTTATGTTTGACTTTGATAGCTCCTATAGAATGCTTAAAATTTGGGATATAAAATAATATTATGAAAAGGACAGAGCTTGAAATGTTATTGCAGTTTCCAAAGTGTTACACCCAGAGGAAAGCAACAGAATACTTTAAAATAGAGACTTGGTCAGGCATAGTGGCACACACCTATAATCCCAAAACTCTAGGAGGCTGAGGCAGGCGGATCACCTGAGGTCAGGAGTTCAAGACCAGTCTGGCTAACTTGGTGAAACCCTGTCTCTACTAAAAATACAAAAATTAGCTGCGCATGATGGTGGGTGCCTATAATCCCAGCTACTTGGCAGCTAAGGCAGAACTGAAACTGAGAGGTGGAGGTTACAGTGAGCCGAGATTGTGCCACTGCACTGCAGCCTGGGCAACAGAGCGAGACTCCATCTCAAAACAAACAAACAAAACACAGAGGCTCAACACCTGGCTGTGCTACTAGAACAGTGTTGCATAGCAGCCTAGCAAAAATGTGACAGCCAGAACACGGCTCTCTCACCCCCCATGCCTCCCACACTGGAAAACGTTTGGAGCTTTATCTAGTTTTGGCCTCCTGGCCAAATTTGGTTGAAAGCAGCTACGGGATGAAAAGACACATTTTGTTATTGACACAGCTGTGACATCTACCCTAGGAAAAGCATTCTCTGGACATTCCCACAGAAAGTTAGTGGTCACAGCAAGTGCATCAAACAGCAAGTAAAAGTAATGACTTCTTATTTGTGTTTGAGAAGCCAAGTGAATTTTTCCTTAAAGAGAAAGTTCCTATTGTGTGTTGGGACATAAAAGGTAAGTCTAAGTAAAATGACATAATACGTAATGAAAAGACACTCTATATACAAGAGAAAAATGGACAAATACCGGTGATAACTGCACTGTAGTTTCTGAGAACCAAGAAAAAAAGTCTAAAAAGTTCTTTGGCGATTTTTTTCTATGCTGCCTACTACAATAAAGGGATTGCAAAAATTCTTCTACTAAAATGGCCTGCAGGAGTCCAAGCTGTAAGCCTCCACAGTGTTCATTAGTGTAGATTTGGCCAGGTAGTTAATATGTATGTATTGGGGGCAGGGTTCTTTCTTCTAGTTTTGCCTATCTATAAAAAGAATAAAATTTCAGGAGAGGGCTATTCCTAAGCCATGTGGCGTGTTTCTGCCTTTCTGACAACTTGTCTTTGTCAGATGTTTAGGGACACACTGGACTCCTTTAGAATAAAGTGAGTATCATGAACAGCCATTTAACTTAAACTCTTCCCACTGAGGGCAGGAGTGATTTCACTGAAGTAACTATTGGTGTCTGTTGAATATAAAGACTGGTCTTGTGAAAATTAGCCAGGCAACAATAAAGACAGAACTTAAATTGTAAAAATTTGTAGAACGCAATATCTAAATATTATTTAAACACCACACTATATCCAATTCCTAGATACTGAAGACTGGCTGTGGATTTTTTTGGAGTTAGAGGTATTTGGCATATTGACAGTTTCAATTCTTATTCCTCAAAACTAAATTCTAGAGTTCCTCTCAATGTAACTTTATGATTTATAGTAAGTAATCAGCCTACTTTAGACATGGAAACTTTTGGAAGCCCAGACACTATAACTGTCTTTATAATTTATGGAATCTCAAACTTCATTGGTGCCAAAGTGTAAAATAGCAACAACCACCACCGGGTTTGGCAAAAATAAGATGACTTTATGTGTCTGATTTGAGATGCTCCAGAAGGCTCAGGACAATTATGCAGCAAGGGAAGCAGCTTTCAGGATTGGGACTTATTATCAAATTAGGCAAGAAACAGGGAGCCATACAGCACTAGCCACTAGAACATTTCACGGGTGCCATTTATCTGACAAATTACAAAATGCTTCCTATTTTTTAGTGACAAAAGGGATCTGAACCAGGTTAATTTCTTGATGTAATTTTTCACACGTTTCTGTTCATGTGCCACTCAGCAAACGGTATATTCCTACCCAAAGTGTGACTTCCTCCTGCCTCAAATATGCAGGCCTTTAATTACACTTAGGAAAAAATCTCTAATTACTGCTGACACAGAATGGTAAAATTTTAACGTGAATTATACAACCTCTTTATACAACATGATTGGTATGTCATGAGGTCACTCTTCCGTGCTTTCAGGGACAGGCACTTGAGTTATTTTTAGGAGTGTAGTTGTGAAAGATTTACAGGGGGGAGGCCTTTACCACCCAGTCCTCAATCATGACCAATGGCATGACTTGGTAAGGCTGCCAGGAGTAAGGAGTGGTCTGTTCCTGAGTCACAGGACAGACCCATGGCCCACATGCAGCCTGAACTACGACCCCGTCCCCTCCTCCCCGGCATGCCACAGTGTAACCAAGTGTACACATACACACCTGCTGCCTGCTTACTGCATACCACCACAGCCTTCCTTGGGAATCTAAAGCAAAACACCTTTTTTCGTACTTTCCTGTGAGGTAACGCTTAAACTATTTTAGCAAGGAGAGGCTAGGATGGGCTGAATTAAGTCCCAAGTAAACATCAGTATCTAATGTCACCAATACATGGCAACTAGGGGTTGGTTTTAGGCTGACAAACTTTTAAGATGAGAACGACCTTTTTCCTTTCATAGAAACAGGGTCTTGCTCTGTCACCCAGGCTGGAGGGCAGTGGTTCGATCTCAGCTTACTGCAGCCTCGACCTCCCGGAATCAAGCAATTCTCTTGTCTCAGCCTCCCAAGTGGTTGAGAATACAGGTGAATGCTACCAGGTCCGGCTATTTTTTTTTTTTTTTAAGACGGGAAGGGTGTTGGTTATGTTCGTCTCACTATGCTGCCCAGGCTGGTCTCGAGATCCTGAGCTCAGACGATCAGCCGCCTCAGCCTCCCAAAGTGCTGGGATTACAGGCGTGAGCCACCATGCGCAGCTGAGAGCTACTTTTTCTAGGGACTAAGTGAATGTATCAAAAGCTTTAAAATCTGTGTCGTGATTTTGGGATCCTGATGCCATGTCTAGGTGGTTCTAAAATTGATCACCGCTTGTCATCCTGCCTTGAATGTTAATCATTGTCTCTCACTTAGAACTTTGCGAATACACTGGAAGCACTTAGTTCCCAGAGTCCCTTACAACAAAACCCCCTGCATCAATAAATGGGACTTCCTTCTATCATCCCTCTGAAACACTAAAGGCTTGGGATCCTGAAGCAGAAGGGCACACGCTCACAGGCCTTCACCCAACATCGAGGAAAGCAATTCACATGTGCTGGGCAGTCAACAGAGTCACTGAATTATCCCAACAACCCTGCTGGGCGGCACTAAAGCTCCATTTCACAGGAGAAGAAACTGGGCTGAGGGCAGTGGTTATATAACCTGCCCAAAGCCACACGGGCCAGGGCGTGGAGGCGCGGAGCTGTTACACACGCGACTCCCAAACCTGAACTCTTCCAGCTTATGCCCCGATGCTGAGAAACACGCTCCTGCCGGAAGAAAGTCAAGTGGAGAGGAGAGAAAATGCAATCTTCTCCCAGGAAGCGGCCCGGGCTCGGGGCGGCTAGGCTCTGGGACGTTTCTGCCGCCCGCAGGCTGCGCGTGATTCAGCCTCAACCCTCCCGCTGAGCCCCCGCCGCCCCGGCAGATGGGTCGACGCGACTGGCCCGTGTGCGCTTCCGGAAGCGGGCGCCTGGCTGCTCCCCGCGACGCTGAGGGGCTCCGCGCCGGGGACAAGCAGGTGCTCGGAGCGTCGGGGACCGCGCGGGATCGGGGGCGGGCAGCGACCTCCTTCCCCCCGCGTCCGGGGCGGAGCGGGGCGGGGCCGGGTGACGCGGCCCCGTCGGGAACCGGGAGGCGCGGGGACGCGGGGCCACTCACGCTGCCGGCTCCGGAGGCGGCACGCGGCCAGTGCTGCTCGGCTCCGGGGCTCTTTCCCCCGGGGTCGGGGCCGGGCGCGCGGGAAACGGTTACCGAGCGGACCTGGACGCCCTCTGCCTTCGTCATTTCCTGCCGGCCGGTCGGTTTCCGGATGAAACGAAGAGCCAGGTCTTTTTTTTTTTTTTTTTTTTTTTTCCTCCCCCCCCCCCACCTTTCCCCTTTTCAGTTTTTTGAGCCGGAGAGACGCCGCGGCTGCACCGGTGCCGCCCCCGGGCGCGTGAGTGGAGCCGGGCTCGCTTCCCCTCCCCCGCCGCGACCCCCGCTCGGGTCGCGCGCGCCGCCCCCCCGCGAGCCCCCGGGCCGGACTCACAAGCTCCCGCGGGTGGGGGGCGGGCGCCGGCGGGGCTCGCGGTAGCGGCGGGTCGCGTACCCCGCGCCTGCTGGCCCACGTGGACCTGGCCGTCGCGTGCCGTGCGGCGCCTTTGCGAAAACCCGGCGGAAGTGGCGGGGACTCGGCTTTACCTGCGAGTGCAGTGCGCCTCGCGCTCGGCTGTGCGCGCGCGGGGTGGGACTCTGCGGGGGAGGGGTCGTGTGCGTTGTCCCACCAGGCGCGTTGAAGCCGGGCAGCGCAGAGGATTTCTTTTTTGATCTTGAGGGCATAGAGTCCCTTTTCATATTCACTTGTACTCTTAAGAAAGCGTCTGTTTTCCAAACTGGCTTTCCATTCTCCCCGTCCTGAATGGTGCGTGGCTGACACCGTAGTGTTTTAAAAACTGGATGTGGCCAGGATGCTATAGCATTGTCAGTGTAAGTGCCTTTTGGGTATTTTTATTTAATTGTCTAGTGACGTGACAGAAGTGTTTCCCGGCTTGACACAGGTAATGAATTTGCGTAGATTTCAGCAACAGTATGGAAATGAGATGTCAGTGGTTGGTGCCACTTTGCAAATAAATGGCCACTGGTCCACGTGCTTCAAGTATTAACTATACAATTTGAGTAAGTTCTCTAGGACCAGCTGACTGTTAATTTATAAGTCATGAAACCCTGCAGAAATGAGCGCTGACATTGAACACTTAACAAGTTTTCTGTTCTTTGTGGGTCATCTGTTAGAATTAAACTCACCTTTGTCTAGATTAAGACCATTACGCAATAACATACTAGCTTAATTTACAGTATATATATTTATGTATATTATATATACATAATCATATATATAATTGTATAGCGTTTAGTTTGATTCTAAAGTTGGAAAATTAGGAAAATAACAAGCAATGTTGAGTACTGATTGTGTGCCAAATGGTGTGCTTGCTTTATGTCACTTAATCGCAAAAAATTTGAATACGTGAGTTTGATTTCAGTGTGTCCAAATGTGAAACGTGTACATTATTGTTTTGTTTCGCTTTTGTTGCCCAGGCTGGAGTGCGCTGACACTATCTCGGTTCACTGCAACCTCCGCCTCCCGGGTTCAAGTGATTCTCCTGCCTCACCCTCCCAAGTAGCTGGGATTACAGACGCCCGGCAACACGCCCAGCTAATTTTTGTATTTTTAGTAGAGACGGGGTTTCACCATGTTGGCCAGGCTGGTATCGAATTCCTGACCCTAGGTGATCCTCCTGCCTCAGCCTCCCAAATTGTTGGGATTTCAGGCATGAGCCACCACGCCCATCAAACGTGTACATTAAATGCTTGTTTCTGCTTTTGTAAAATAAGAGTATGGGCAATATAAAATGACCCATAGAGTAAATTAATGTGCTTTTCAAGTTGGAAGATGGCTTTACAAATTCATAGAACTACAATTAGTCCCTTTATTTAGGTGCCGAATAGTTTCCAAAGCCCCGTGTCTCTTACTTATCCAAGTTTCCATTATATAACATTGTCACCCAGTGAACAGGCTATGCTAGGACATTGGAAAAAGGTAAATATTGAGAAAGCCCTAATGGCCTCCCTTTCCATATTTAATTTCTAAGTGACAGTCCTAATTAAGGGTAAACAAACATGAAACAAGGCTAGTTTTCCAATACCAAACTAAAGAAATAAAAAACAGTGGGCTGGCTGTTACTTTGTTGATGAGTCTAGCACAATTTTACTGGGCATTTGAATGTTAAGGATGTTATTTACATTGTAGGTAGTTGTGAAAGAGCTGTGTGCCTGTTTTTAGTTTGCCTTTAAATGTGTTGAACATATGCTTACTCTTGAGTCCAGTACTTTGTGCATTAATAAGTTTTTGATTGGATTTAATTGAATAGTTTTGGCTTCCTTAATAAGTTTGTTTTGGAGATAGAATTTAATGATCTGTGTAGCAGTTCCAACTAACAATGATTCTGAGATGAGCGTAGGGTCTAACAGTTCGAATCTTGTTGGGTGTTGAAAGGACTGGAGAGTTGGAGGTGTGTCTTTGTGATCAAAAAAGCATGCTGGAGGCGGGGCGCGGTGGCTCAAGCCTGTAATCCCAGCACTTTGGGAGGCTGAGGCGGGTGGATCACGAGGTCGAGAGATCGAGACCATCCTGGTCAACATGGTGAAACCCCGTCTCTACCAAAAATACAAAAAACTAGCTGGGCGTGGTGGCGCGTGCCTGTAATCCCAGCTACTCAGGAGGCTGAGGCAGGAGAATTGCCTGAACCCAGGAGGCGGAGGTTGCGGTGAGCCGAGATCGCGCCATTGTACTCCAGCCTGGGTAACAAGAGCGAAACTCCGTCTCAAAAAAAAAAAAAAAAAAAGCATGCTGGAACTTAGCTATCAGGTGATTCTGGTGGTCCATCTTTGGACCTAGGAAAAGATGAAGAATGCTTTGCTAGTCAGTATTTACAAGAGGGTTTCTTAAAGGCATTCTCTTTGGGGAGGGGAGGATTTGGGATTTGTCATCAATACAAGGATCTTAAAAAAGACGTACATGTTTTTCTTTTGGAGTGAATTTGTGACTGATTCTTGTCACCACATCCATCTTCAGGCACTTTCCCAACTTTGATATTTATGGGCAGTCACTGGTAAATGAAGTAAAGAAGGGGGAAAAAGTGGGGCTGGGTAGGTGGGGAGCAAAGCCTGCCGTATTAGGTTTTCATTTGGGCAAAGTTTAGAAACTGCACCTCCACAGGCCTCTGTTACGAAAACCATCCCAATAACATTGTATGCATTTATAAATCTCTTATGTGTTTCTTCGTATGAAGAAATATGGAGACTATTCTTTTATGTGCTTTTTAAAGATGGAACTGATTTAGAATACAATATATTACAGTACATGAAAAAATTCAAAATTTTTTTGTCATTTTTGGAAAACCATAGTGGATATAATAACAATATTGGCTCCTGTTCATAAGGCATTTAAATGGTTTCCTATGACAGGAAGACAGTCCTCTCTCAATCCTTCAAAATTTGGCTCTAGATGGAGTGCCCTTTCAGCGCCCTGAATGTGGGGACTTTTTCTGTCTCGCTCATTGTTTTTTCCCTGGGGCCTAGGACAGAACCTGGCATACTGAGAGTGCGACGTTAACCTTTGCAGAACGAGCACCTTCCCTGGGGAATCCTCTTTCCTCTTTCCGGTAGTGAAGATGACACCTGCCTTTAGGTGAGGGCCCTTCCAGCCTGACTGTCTGCAGAGCCTGCAGCCCACAATGACTCTTTGAACATTAACTGTGTATACCACACTGTGGCAGTTTATTTTTTATAGCTTTATATGAGTGTTTCATGTATTTTGTTTCCTCGCCCAAAATAAAAGCTCTTCAAGGTTAGGGGATGTCCTATTTTTGAGAATTCCTTTGGTATCCAGTATAATATATATGTATATATACAGAGCAGGTTTGTATTTACCTATTGAATGAATGTTACATACCATGGGGAAACATCAAAGATATTCAGAATGGTAGGTAATATTTTCGTTAGGCAAACCTAGTGTACACATGTGAAACAGTACTAGAATTTGGAACTAAATAAGACTTAATATTTATGTCATGCTTAAAATGTACAACAATCCTTTGAAGTAGGTACAATTATTTTCTCATTTTTCAGAGGGAAAAATGGAGACACAGCAAAGTAATTACCTTTCTTGCTCAAGATCGTACTGGAAGTCATAAGTAGACAGTCTGGCTCCAGACCCAGTGTGGTTTCTCTGGGGAGATTTCCTTTATACTTCGAAGAGAGATCTAAGCACTACTGTAGCAGCTGTAAGAGATGCTCTTTTAAAAACTTCAAAGTAGCCTAAGAGACTGCAGAAGCAATGCTGGATGTTCTATATAGAGGACGCTGGTAATGGAATGGTTAAGGGGACACTATCTGTAGACTGAAATGACTAAAGATGGGGCGGAGAAACTGAATTTTGAATCTCAGAGCTGAGGATTATAATTCTTTATAGTTGTTGAATTCTAGGACAGTGATTCACCAGGACATAGGACAATGACTGCTTCTTACTAATTTAGTATAAAAAAACTTAGGCCAAATAAAATAATACTGAATGATACTGGATATCTTACAGCATTTCCTTTTTTAAACACGTACTAGGTTTGAAGACCTAGTGGTAGTAATTTACCTTAATGTGGGTATTACTAAAGGTTTCCTGTACGCTTCTGTCCATTTGCTTTGTCTTTTTGTAGAATTTTTTTTTTTTTTTTTTGAGACAGGATCTCACTCTTGCCCAGGCTAGAGTGCAGTAATGCAATCTCACTGCAGCCTCTGCCTCAAGCAATCCTCCCACCTCAGCCTCTAGAGTAGCTGGCACTAGGCATGCACCACTGCGCTCAGCTATTTTTAAATTTTGTGTAGAGATAAGGTCATACTATACTTCCCAGGCCGGTCTTGAACTCCTGGGCTCAAGCAACCCTCTTCCTGCCTCAGCCTCCCAAGTTCTGGGTATGTCAGTGAGCCACTGTGCCTGGCCTTTTTGTAGAATCTTTTTTTTTTTTTTAGATGGAGTATGGCTCTCTTACCCAGGCTGGAGTGCCGTGGCGCAATCTTGATTCACTGCAGCCTCTGTCTCCCTGGTTCAAGCAATTCTCCTGCCTCAGCCTCCCGAGTAGTTGTGATTACAGGCGCCTACCACCACACACAGTTAATTTTTGTATTTTTAATAGAGACCATGTTGGCCAGGCTGGTCTTGAACTCCCGACCCAGGTGATCTGCCCATCTTGGCCTCCTAAAGTGCTGGGATTACAGATGTGAGCCGTTGTGCCCGGCCTTTATGTAGACTCTTGTTCCATTTTTCAGGTTGTATTGAGCTATAGAGAACACTGTTGGGGTCAAGAGGTTGCGTCAAACCAAGTAATTTTTTTTCTGTTGGAAAAAAAT